TGAATTTAATAAATAAACATTAAATATAAATTAAAATATCAATCATTAAAAATAAACTTAACAGCATAAAAAATTATCAAAGTCATAACTCAAAAAGAATTTTTTAAATCGCCAAAATTATCATATTTTTTTCAAAAAAGATGATTTTTTTAAAGATTGGTCATGTTAAAAATGTATTCTCTTGACAATATTATTTGATTAACCAATAACTTTCTGTCAAGTCAAAAATAGGTTTTTTTATTTTTTTGCGAGATTTAATTTTTTAATAATAGTTCTTTAAATCGACGATTAAATTTGATTTGTGAAATTATTCTTAATATTTCAGTTTGATTGCAAGTCCAAAAGTAATCGGCGTGATAATCATAACATTAATGTATATAACATAAATGTATTTAAAATAAATTACATATAGAGAATTATTATTCCAATATCTAACTTTGATCGTATTTCTCGCTTCTAATTTTTACTTGATGATTTATTTATACATCAGTCTTATTTCTAACTTATTAATTTTTTTATGTCAGTTTGGAAATAAGAGAATGCTATACCTTTTAAGACAATAGATTTGTTCGCGTCGTATACTCCAACATGTTTTTACCATAGCTCCTACTCACCTTCTAACGAGCGCGTTTCAGTGAGTAGGAGCTACGATTGGGGAAAGTAGGAGCATGTTGGAGCAAACCTAATATCTTTTTCATCAAATTAGTTGAAAGTGAAACAGGGGAAATCAGGGCAAAGTGGATACCCTAAAGTTTAAAGGGATTAAAAAACTACTGGTTGATGGCTACAAGAAACAATGTGCTAATTTTAATTGTACTTTATTAAACCCTTAAAATGTAATAAACAGAACTTTTAAACATTTGATAGTTCTAAAACTTTAATAAAAGATATGGATATAAGCAGAACTATTCGCTTTGCCCTGATACCCGGATAGGGAGACAGGGCAAAGTGAACATCGATAAGTACAGTGCATTTAACAAGTTAATGAATTAATTAAAAGATTAATACATATATGGTTTAAGTTCGCTATATGTTTCTTAAATAACACCCACTAATCATACAGTGTTATTTCTAATAAAAAACTGACAATGAGTTAAAAAGTCCTTTACCATTTTGTAATTTTCGCAAGTTTTTCATAGTTAATGAGATATTAGTTTCTAAATATCGCCGAATAAACAGATAAAATTGATGTATAAGATAATTTTAAGATATCTTTCAATGTTTTTTGTGAAACACTTTGAAGATGTTTCTTAAAGAACTCTTAAAGATACTTTAAAGTTGACTTAGACGTCGATTTTAGACATTTTGCTCATTCCGGTAACTAAAAAAAATATTGCGAAAATCGCAAAATGGTAGAGGACTTCTCGATTCAGTTTTTGATTAGGAATAGCACAGTATGATTAGTGGGGGTTATTTCAGAAATATCCTATATTTAAATTCGCTATATGTTTTCTTCATAGAATTTCCAGATTCGCATTTTATAATGGCAAGCTGCATGGATTTTTTCTCATTCCATTTTTTTCTGATTCCCCTTGATTAGCTTTTCTTTTACAATTACTGATTATCTATAATAACAAAGAATGAACAATGTAACAGGCAAAAATAATAAAGCAAATGATAGACGGACAAAACGAATAGGTGACCAGAGAATTGGATTCACTTTGCCCGACAAGCACTTTTTGAAAAGCAATCAAAATAAAACCGAAAGTCAGTAGCAACTATTTTACGAAATTCATGGTAAACAAGACAATCATGCACTTTAAGAACACAATATAATACAAGTAATACTACGAAAGTGTGATTTCATGTAGAAAAACTCACCTTGAAATATTGAAAGTTTATCATTGATTTCGGATTTTACATTCTCTGTGTCGACATGCAGTGAGTTCTCCTAATAACTGAATTGCTTGCGACAGATAGGCAATAGACGGATGAGGTTACGTTTGTTTTATTTCTTGCCAGAATATAGTTTACGAGTAATGGAGAGTGTTAATTCGCTTTGCTCGAGACATCCACTTTGCCCGGGTTTCCTCTACGTGGTAAAATCGGGTAAAATTCATCATACGTTGGTAGCAATGAAAGTTAAGCCTGTACTGACAAAGGGTCTTTAAAAAAAATTACGGAGGAAAGTTAAGCGTATAAAACCGAATTACTGAAGCGCTCATCATCCAAAGAAGAGGCCGAGATGAGAAATAGAATAGGAAGGGATACGAAATTTGTCTATCGATCGGCCAGAAAAGTTACCCTGTAAGGAATTCCACGTAAGGAAGGTGCCACGGGACTCAGTTGGATAAGAAGGGGGTTGTTTCATCTTTCGCCCGCCCAACTCCTCGTTCCGACTCCGTCGCTATTTATATTTAATGTAGCCCATCCGGGATCCGGATGCGCCCCTATCCTGACAGAACTTCTAACCCGGTATCCAACCTGACCTTCCCTCTGTTTCTATCCCCCTTCTCGGGCCTGGTTTCGCCCTCAATTTTGTTCCCCGTTTGGACGACCTGACCCGTGAAAAAGCATATCGACTCGCCTGATCTCCGCCACCGGGGGATTAATTTTTTCCGCCCTTCTCGCCGCTGCTTAATTTAGCGTGAATGGCGAGTGTCTCGCTTCGCCTAGAGAATCGTAAAGGCGAAAATCGTGTCTCACCCCGATAAGTAAATTTTATCCCTCAAACCCAAGCGTTTTGCGCTTCTAGAGATTCCGGAGAACAAGAATATATTCGTGGTCAATAATTAAAAATGAAAAAACACTTTTACTTCATCGATTCGAGGACGTGCTCTCACCCGTCTTTCTTCTGGCGGCGTGTCTGAGAATGGAATTTTTCTTTGATTTTCAATCAATAATAATTACTTCTTGCGACTCTTATAAGAGATGCGTTTCGCATCGAGCGAGGTCGATAAGGCGATAAGGCGAAATCTCGCGATAAGAACGACCTGATTCAGAAATGAAGTGAGTCAACACGCATGTGTTTACTTACGGCTCTTCGTGCGTTACAACGTGTTCGACTGCGATTTACTTGGAGGGATTTTGCTAGCAGCTTAGGGGTTGCACGCGATGTTAACGAGGCATTGCGTTAATGCTGCACTCGCATAACTGCGTTTTGCCGATATCGTCGTAACGCGGCGTTTCTTCTTTCATCCTACTTTTTGCCGCGTTTTTATCGCGATATGATATCAAGCCTGTAAAGTACATATTTATATGCTGCTTCTTGCATTTCTACGTACCCACGCACACACACACACACACACACACACACACACATATACACGCACGCGCGCAGTGTGTCGCGCGCGTGCATAAGACTTAATAAGAAAGCGGGACATATATATCCGCGATATACGAGCAATCGAACGTCCCCGTATCCCGGATCGATTTTGCACGAGCCTTTTACGAGGACCTCACGAATCTCTCGGGAAGAAGAGTAATATTCTAGACGTAAACGGTGCGAGAGCGCGAGGGTCGCACGTGGCTAGGGCTGTCTAGCTGGCTGGCTGACTGGCCGGATGTACCCTACGTGTCGCTGTATTTTATATCCTTAAAAGCACCCTCTTATCCGGCCATCCGCTTTTACGCTGGAGATGTTCGAGAGTCCTGAAAGGTTCTCCTCGCATCTTACCTGCCCGATTATTTATTTATATTTATTAGGTTACGGATCCAGACAGACAGATAGCGAGACGTAAGCGCGCAGATGGATGCGTCGATGCTCGATCAAGTTCACCTTCCACTGTAAAGAGAATTACAAAATTGTCCTGAGATCGGTTGATTTTGTGCTATTCAGGCTTTTCATTGATGAAAATATGTTTCCATGTTTTGTAAATTGTAATTAGAACAATATGGACATCTAACGATCATTATCTCCCTGTATTTGTGTATTCTTCTCGCAATTTGCTAGAACAATGATATAAATTAAAAAACTTTTATTTTGGAGTTGCTTACGGAAAAAGAACGGAGACATACTGGGTGACAAAAAAAATTAGCCACAATATCATTAAGAATGTACATTTACATAAATAAAAAAACACTTTGGACTGTTAATTAATACCAAAAATAATAATTGGCATTCAAAATAGCTTATTTTTATCTTATAATTAGCTGTAAAAATGAATTTGAATCAATACTAATAAGACTCCTTTAATAATAAACAATGATTATAATAACTAAAGATTATAAAAGTCAACGCTGGGTGTATCTATAACAACAATTTAAAAGATCTGTACGTTTCTGTTCATGTTTGAGCCATAAAAAATTATGCTTCAGCATAAAAATTCCTAAAAATTATCGCAACTTGTAAGCGATATTGCATCGCAAACTAATATCTTCAAACTTTTTGTATGCGACCTTCGTTGAACAATCGTAAGACAAGAGCTATTAGTCAATGTTGTCCTACACATAGTTTCAAAGCTGAATCGTAATGAGAAACTCAAGCTGAAATTTAAAAAAATTGTTGAAAATTGATATATGGACAATAAAAATAAAACCAAGCTCACCTCACAAAGCCAATAGACAGTTAAATATAACGTAAAATTACAGAGAATATCAGAATTTCGTCACAATTTAATTTATTTATTACATCCAAAATAGTTATCTTTATCTTTAGATCTGATACAAATTTTAAGGTATTCTTGGAATTGCCCTTATTATCTTTCGACGGATTCCCAAACAGTCAATAGAACGATTTGTTTATCAACCAATAAAAATCCTTCGGTGCAAAATTTTTTAAATATCTAATAAGAATATAAATAACATTCCAGAGTTTATTTATTTAAATACATCTTACTATTTAGGTAAACAGACGTTATTTGTCTTCATTTTGAAGTCAAAATGATGTCTTTAATCAAATTACGTCAGCTTGTTATTTAGATAATGATTTGACAAACACACAAAATGTCACACAAATTTTTTTGTCACCTTACAAAGAAAAAAATGGAAGAACGCACTTTTATTCCATCGTCAATTATTATTATATCGAAATCGCATTTCAAAATTAATATTACAAAATTTTAATAATTCACAACAGTCAAAATCATTCTCAAAAACCTTTATTTTCTGAGTCTGAGTTATGTCGTAGCAGCAAATGAACGATATATATGTACGTCACAGTGTTTTATACATCCTCATCGGACATGTTTCGCGTAAGAGCGACGTGAGGTTCCTTCGCGAAGTTACTGAAGAGTAACCGCTCGCGCGGCGATCATTTATTTATGTTTATTAGAAGTGCATCTTACGGCTTAAGAGAGAGGATCATTGTATCTACAAGCGACCGCGGATCTTAAAGGATGGCCATTAAAATTTCGCACTCAACCCCCCCCCCCCAGTTCGACGTGCGTTACCTCCCCTGTTGTCCGCTTTATGCTTTAACGGCGCTCTTACGCGTTCAAAAATGCGTCTTACATTTGTATTTTTCAAACGTATTCTTACACAGCGATGGCGCCGGTGCTTTCCTCTTTACGCGCGGAGTGCACGCCCGTTGGCCCTAAAAGCCGTCCGCATCAGGAATTCTCGGGGGCCATTTTTCGAGGTCCTTCACCGCGCAACACACCTCGAGACACGACTACTGAATAATATTTCAGCGAACGCTGGCATACGTTATCCTGAGAGCGGCGTCGCTTATACTGCGCTCCGCCGCGCTTTTGCCGCAGCAAAATATTTGATGACTACGACCTGGATGCTGCGAATTATGTGCTATAGTTACAGTCGAGACGGAGAGGAGACGGCGGGGTACTTCGATATTATTATATCTTAATTAATATCGTTAGCTGAATTAAGCGGCAAAATATTAAGGTAAAAGAAAAAAACGGATTAATAGTGCAAGCGTGAAATAATTCCGATAATTACATTTTCTTCTCGAAATATAGGAGGGGATAGTTTATCAAGAGGAATATAATAAATTGTTTATAACTCTTATTAATAGATAAATAATGAATTACTTTTCTGTAGAAGTAATAAAGAATACCAAGGTATTTCTTTAAAATTCCTTGTAGGACATATTAACCGCCTTCGTCGAAATTGATATTCATTGGTTATGGTTATGACACTATGCCGCTGGGTAAAGAAAAGCGATGCATCTCTCACGCGCATCGCATGCGGTTTCACGCACGTACATTCAGAGTGATCTCCCGTGTAACTTCGCTTTATTCTCCAGTATCCTGTCAATTTCTTCAAAGCGGGGGGGGGGGACAAAGCTGGGTGCCAGACGGCTGCTCGCAGCGAATCCACCTTAAGTGATTGTGCGGTATAACTATCGACTACGAGACACCTTTCAACTTGCAGGTCTTGAGGGTGGCGGCGGCGAAAGGGTAGGAATGGAGAACGGCCGCACGAAGTTCGCGACGAGAGATGGGCGCGGAGAGGTGAAGACGGGGATGTAAGGACCTCCAGTTATAAGGATCGCTTAGCACGCGATTGTCTTCCTGCGGAGTGCCTTTAAGGGCTTTAATCATGGAACTTTGGCGGAAATGCGCGTCGTTAATATTTCGCGATCTCGAGCGCGCGTCTTTCGCCTCGCCTTACCTTTCAGTGCCCTCCTTCCTCTTTCCTTCCTTCCCCTTCTTTCCGCCTGATAATGCCCCGTTCTCATCCGCCTATCAGCAACTTTTTAATCAATCATCATGCCCGCGCCCCCATCGCGTGAAACAATCGCGCGCGCCGCTCAACGATGCGATGAGTCACCTAAATGAAGTTTCCCGTTGCTAGACACTAATTTCTTCTCCTAGGAAACGAGAACGTCACTCTTCCACCGCTACGGTACCACCCGCTTCTGCGATACTTCAGCTCCGCGTTGCTAGCGCCCGCTTGTAACCTGATTTATTACGGGGGCGTAAGATATTACGAACGTCGATCGACAAACACGTTATTAAAAGCGATAAGCGATAATCAATTTTGACGGTAAAGAAAAAAATCATTCCAGTTTTTTTTTTTCCAGATGAAAAGCATCGTCTCTCGCGCAAATAGTATCACGTATAAACAATTTTATCGAAGTAACTAAAAAAAAAAAAAGTAGGATATTCAAGCTAATTGCTAGAATGCTTTTGTAGCATTGCTCGTTATGTTTGAATTTTTTATGTAATTATTTTGATGGTCCAACAAAATTATTTTCACATCTATTGCTACTGAAATTTTTTTTTTTTTTACATTGAGAAAATTATAAATCTATTTGTACAACATAATGTTTATTTCACTGAAATAAGCCCTTAAATATGACGAAATAAAATTTTATTCTCTCTCTCTCTCTCTCT